TGCAGTCCATCAAATGTGATTTAAGGCTTGCTCTCTTTGACTCTGCAGGACCTATGCAGCTATGAAGACTAGAAACCACTGATAGCCCAATCTTCCCTGAATCGTACATTTGAAAGGTGCCATTCGGGCCATCTAGTCCAGTCCTCTGCTCAATGTGTGTGTGTTGTGTGTGTGTGTGTGTGTATGCGCATGCCTTCAAGTCAGTGTTGACTCCTGGTGACTACCTGGATAGGACAACTGTCTAGACGGGTCCCTGCAGTTTTCTTGGCAAGATTTTGGAAGTGATTTGCCCTTGCCTCCTCCTCCTTCCCAGGACTAAGAGAGAGGGACTGGCCCAAAGTCCTCCATCTGGTTTCGTGCCTAAGGCAGGACTCACGGTCTCCCGATTTCTAGCCTGGTGCCTTAACCACTACACCAAACTGGCTCTCTCTCTGCTCAGTACAGGAATCTAAATGAAAGAATCCCTAATAGAGGAGGTCTAGTCTCCCATTTGAACACACCCAATGAAAAGAAGCCCATCACCTCTCTGGGTTGTTGGTTGCACTGTCAAACTGCTCTTCCTATTAGGAAGTTTTCCCCCCCTAATGTTCAATGAGCACCTCTCCTTCATAAACTTAAATCCTTTCTGCAGTGTCCTGCATTCTGGAATGAGAAAGAATAAATTTTGGCTTTCTCTGTGACATTCTTTCAGGTATTTGAAAAGTACTATCATATCCTGAGTCATCTTTTCTCATGGCTAAACACACTCAGCTCCTTCAGTCTTCCATGTCTCTCCAATTTCTCTGAATCCTTCTTAAAGTGTTGTATCCCAAACTGGACACAGTTCTCACAAAGGGAGCTGGCCAAAGCAAAATAAAGAGGAACAATTGCTTCCCATGATTTAGAAATTATACTTCTGTTGATGCAGTGTAAAATTGCATTTGCCTTTTTTATAGCCAGATCACCCTGCTGGCTCGTATGTGTTTGAAATCAACTGTTATTCCAGTGTCTTTTTTTACAAATACCATTCCTCCATCCTGTAACTGTTGATTTGATTTGTCTCTTTTAAATTTTATTTTACTTTCAGCCCATTTCTCTTTTCTGTTAAAATCATTGATTGACTGATTATGTGCCATCAAGTCAGTGCTGACTCTTAGCAACCACATAGATAGATTTTCTCCATGACAATCTGTCTCTCACCTGGTCTTTCAGTCTTCCAACGGTGCACTCATAGCCACTATAACTGAATCCATCCACCTTGCTGCTGGTTGTCCTCTTCTTCTCTTTCCTTCCACCTTTCCCAGTATTAGAGCCTTT